TAAATCCTGATATCCTATTAACAATATCTTCTGCCGTCTTTTTAAAGACTATTCCTCCCCTTTCACTCCACCAGGGTGCACTGTACAATTTTGGGTCTCACCAATACCCTCAGTTTTTAGATTAGGGGGGCAAACTGCTATTTACCTAGGTGGTTCCAAACCTTCTCCCTCCTGGACTTGATCTCTAGTTATATTCCTTTACCTTTTAAAGCCTGTCTTTCCAACCTATCCACAAATACTGGTCTAGTTGCCTCAATTACTCTCTGGTTCTCTGTCACAGAGAGCATTGTTTTCTCATATTTGATTTTCAGTCCATAAAGTCTTTTTCAGGTTAATTATATTTCCTATAAAGAGCATCTCAGTGGACTTACCTCCTGATCTACTCTGCCTGTGTTTCTCATTTTCTTTGTGTGTGTGTGTGTGTGTGTGTGTGTGTGTGCGTGTGTGTGTGTATCAAGGCCATCTATATTAAAGATTATAGCCAACCTTCTCTGCCTCATTTCTGTTGTGCTCTTTTTCTGCCATTGGTTGTCTGCTTTTCTTCTTCATTCCACTTTCTGCTCCATTCATTGAGGCCTCTCTGCCACTGGTACTCTCTGCCTGAAATCCTGGTACTTTTGTCTCTCTCTAGAATGTCCTTCAGTATTCTCTGTAAGGTTGGATTGGTGGTCATGAATTCTCCCAGTTACTCTTTGTCTTGGAAGCATCTTGTTTCTCCATTAATTTCTAGAGACAGTTTTTCAGGGTACATCAATCTGGACTGGAAGTTATTTTCTTTCAGGGCTTGGAATATTTTGCTCCAAGCTCTTCTTGATTTGATGGTCTGTGTCGAGAAGTCTGCCGTTATTTTGATGGGTTTTCCTTTATAGGTAATCTGTTTCTTTTCTCTGATGGCTTTTAATATTCTGTTCTTATATGGAATTTCTGGGATCTTGATTATTAAATGCCTGGGTGTAGCTCTGTTTTGGTTGTAGGTGGCTGGAATTCTATATGCCTCACACATCTAAATATCATTTCCTTTTCCTATGCTTGGGAAGTTTTCCTTAATTATTTCTGTGAATAGCCTTTGTAGTTCCTTTGTTTGTACCTCTGCTTCTTCATTCACATTCTTTATTCTTAAATTATAGATCCTCTTGTTGTCTTATAGCCTTTGTACTGTTACTGCCTATTTCCTTGTTATTTTTAAGAAATTTTTCCTTTCATGATCCTACATTGCAAACCTGTCTTCCAGTTTGGATAATCTATCCTTCATTTCTTTCAAGTCATTTTGTCAGCTTTCAATGGAGTTTTTTTATTTCCTGGTGATCTCTTTGAACCTGCTTCATATATTCTATGTTTTCTTTATATTCTTCATCAAACGTTTCTCTCCTTTTTTTGTGCTCCTCTGTTCTTCCCTCTTTGTCTTCTTGAGAGGCGCTTAGCATTTCTTTTATTAATCTATTTATATTTTGCTTTACTTGGTTAAATAGTAGTTCACTTTTGAACTCATCTATGAGGTCCCAAAGACATCTCTTTATGTCCACTGATGCCGTGTCTGGTATTGCATGTTTGCTGTCCTCAATCTCTTTTGTATTTACATCTCCTGGATCAGTGTTCTCAGGGTGGGGGCTGGGAGCTTTTTCTTGTTGCTTCCTCCTCTCACATTTTTTGTTTCTTCCATACAGGCGTATAGAGGAGGTCCCAGTCCCTTTCCTTGTTGGTTACAGTTCTTCTGAAGCACACTGGCTAGGTGATCCTGCCCAGTTCAGTGTGTTATTGAAGTGCAAAACAGGAGCAGCATATGCTGGCTCCTCCCCTCTGGGTCAGTCAACCGCAGGTTGATACAGGTCCCTTGCTGACCTCCAACCTCAGTGCGACTGCACTTCAGTGCGACTACAGTTCCAGTGAGTCCAAGTGGCAGGAATTTGAGTGTGCGAGAGCACAGAATCTTAGCTGCCTCAATAGCAGCCCCAGGACTGCATGTTTGACTGGTTCCTTTCACTTTAGTTTCTTCCTGGGTTGAGAGGATCCATCTCCCTCTGTCCTGGACTCCCCATGCTGTGCTATTTCAGCATCTGAGGTGTATGCCTCAGGGAGCCTCTCTAATCTACTCTTATCTATCCACCATCTTTACTGGAAGTCTGCTGACTGGTTTTTACAGCACAAGGCAGACTGGTTGATTTTTATAACACAGATAAGTTCATAAATAGAACTAAACATTACTAGAGAATCTTACAAGTTAGTAAGAGTTTTAAATGAGAACATAATATATATAAAAATAGGCAACACCCCACATTGTAATCAGAGATTGCAAAGATAACAAGACAATACAGGACCCAAAACTTACAGTATTATTCATAATAGTCACTCAAGGAGTCAAATACAAAGCAAGTGCAGGAAATACGTCCACACATTAAGATTCAAGGAATCCCGCTAAGAGCTACCCTCAGCACCATGCTGATTGAGTTCAGTCAGTAATACAAGGTGATCACTAGTTATCAATTCAACACACCCCAGCCCACAGAGGACTGGCTCTCATCATGACTTTTATCTAGAACATCTTATAGGCTGGCCACTGTTCAGGGAGATAATCTCTTTCTACACCCAAAGCTGGCCTGCTCACCCCTGCTGAAAATAGTTAAAATTATCTTTAATAGTCTGTCCCATTAAAAGGGAATATGTGGCTATCCAAACAGTAGTTTTGCCCATCAGCTGTGCCTATCCAACAAATATGGCTATCAATAGTAGCCTGTATGTAACCAGATGTTCCAATCAGATAAATTGTTAGCCTAGGGCCCATCTTAAAAATTGTCTTTGCTTTCACAGGTGTAAAAGGTTTTATTCCTTCTAATTCATATTACAAGAGATCTTTGTTAACCGAAGCACAGACTATGATTCATCTATTTATAGTTACACGTTTAAGAACTAAAAAACAAATTATAATTCAACCTAGCTAAATATATCTGAGTACACTCTAGTTTTATAAATAAATTGTCTTATATGTGTTTGTATGTCTCTCTGTCTGATTTGTACTAGTTATCATACTTACAGCTGTTTTGTTTGAACTCAGTGATTTTTTTTTTACTTTTTTTTTTTTTTTTTGCCATTTTGGATTTTTAAACATTTGCCTATAATTTAAGTTGGTTTACATATGTCATTATAAGTAAAGACATGCTTCCACCTAGGTTGCCACCTGATCAAAAAGATCAACATTGTTTTTACAAATATAATACATATTGTACAATCACTCAAGAATCTTTCATTGGCAATTTATACTAATGTATAAAGTGTTATGATCTAGTTCTCACAGGTCATCAAAAAATTGTAAAGCTAGTTAAATAGAGATCCCTTAAGGAGGGGGAGCTGTTGGACAGGATTGTCCTTGGTGAATAAAGGAGCAGCTGCCTCAAAAAATCTTATTCCAGCCTTAGTTCACTAAGGGGGCTCCAGTAGTTCCCATCGCCTTATGGGAGACACCTCAATAAACACCATTAAATATATTATCGTGATATGTTTACACTGGTGATCATGAAACAGGTGATACCAAAATCCCAAGTCTCCATTCATCTCTTAGGGAAGTATGTAAAACTAGCCATTGTGAATTTATGGTCCCCAACGGCTACAATGACCAGCTTTAAAAGAAAATGTTAATACTAGCATTCTGAGAGGCTAGGGCAGAAGAACTGCTAAAGTCCAGCCTGGGCAATTTAGTGAGAACCCTATCTCAAAATATAGAAGGAAAAAGGGGCTGGGCTAGTGTAAAAGGTTTCAGTGCTAAAGTTCTGGGTTTAAACCTCAGTAAATTTAATTTATACCATTCTGGGGGCCTGGACATAAATGAGATGTCTCTTTGAATTAATGTGGCATCAATTAATTTGCTTCTATTTGGATTATACATAAAATACTGCTTTTACCACATACTACTTTCATCCCAGTCAAGAAGAGAAGAAAAAGATGTAATCTCATGATAAAGAAAATGTTGATTAGAGCCGAGGATTTAGCTCAGTGGCATAAGCACCTGCCTGGCAAGCGTGAGGTTGCTGAGTTCAATCCCTGGTACCAAAAAAAAAAAAAAAAAAATGTTGATTATATGGATTTAGATCAAACAGGGAAAGGAAAGCTAAATGACAATGGAAAAAACTATGTATTACTAGTAAACAGTACAATATAAATGGTTCCTGACAAATATAATTTCACTTTAATTCACTCACGGTCATTAAAATAAAAAGGATTTCCACCACATACTATTTTCAACATTCAACATAACTTTAAACATAATATTAAAGAACTCTGAGTTTTTAATGGGCTGTTTCCAACCTGAAGTTCTTTCACCTCTGTGGATTTTATAATCTTCATTTTTTTTTTACCCTCAGGCATGATATAACATCTTCTTTTCAAGTCTGCACATATCACTTGGACATTCCCCTAAATCTAACACATTTGAGGTCCTACTATTAGAAATTTTTAATGTAACTAACTACAAGTTATAGTTCAGACTGTGTTAACTGGCCAAATTAGAGCAAGCCTCCTGACTTCACCATACCTGCATTTCTTCAACATGAATAAGACAAGGTTAAACTTTTACCTAAAGGCCATTTTAGCTCTACTCCGAGTTTATTACTGTATCACTTTACACAGTCTGCAATGGAACAGTTTTTCACAAGATTTAAAACAGATTGTTAAGAAAAATATTACATATGAATATTATATGTATGTATATATAATTTCAAATCTTTTTCTTTATTCTTCAGGGATGCAGTAACCTCAAACAGCAGTATCAAACTCTAAATCTGAGGAACTGGCAAAAGTTCAGATTATGAGCTAAGAGGCTCAACAATGACAGAAAATTTGACAAATTTTGCATTTATTCTCTCACATGATCTGGCTAATTTTCAAAACTTCTGAGTTGAGGAAGTGAAAAGATTTTCCTGAGAGCTTAAGTAAAACATAAGCCATCCGATTTCTCAGTCATCACATAATACACAGTTAGAAGAATAACAAACTGCCACATTAAGTCCTACCTGTGTCTGCCTCATTGCCCGGTCCACTCGACGTGTGCTTCCTCGCTCAAGTTTTGTCCGGAGGATCAAGGCTGATGTCTGAATGGCCCAGAACTTTGGTTGTGAAAGCAAACACTAATGGAAGGAAAAAGATCACAAAAAGAAGGGATTTGCTAAAAATCTTACTCTGAATAGGATAAAATCGATTCTGTGAAAAATATCAGGACACAACTGAACAAAGATTTAACAACCTATGCAAACAAAGGCAAAAAATACTTGTTTTCAATTTGCACTATAGAAAATCATTCTAAAACACACAAAAGAGCTTTCTGATCTTCACTAGAGGTCTCCAATTTTATTTTAAATGCTTTCCAAGATAGGGCATTTAAAGAAAGACTGGCTTACAAGAAAACTTTAATACGCACAAACTGAAACCTAACCCCTCAGCAGCTGAGACTGTCATCAATTCAGAAAACATGATGGAAACGTTAAATAGAACCACAGGTGTAATGGGAAATAAAAGTGATAGTCTGAGGCAAAACAAACCAAATGTATTGTGATAAATAGGGACAGCTTGGTATAATGAACACAATTTAAGCTTTGTTTCATTGTGTGACCTGGAATCTAATATTGTGCCCCAGTGGTCAGTCCAAATAATAACTTTCATTAAAGCTCACTATAACGAAAAAGACTTTTATTTGTCTGAAAGCTGAGGCCACCCTTGATCATTGTTATGTTGCCTGTTGCTAAACAAGTATTTGCTTGTTTCTAAAAGACAAGTGTGGAAAGTATCCTAATCAAGAGTCCAAATAATCATTCCAAAAAAACCAGTTGCTCATTAGAAACACCTGGGAAGCTTTGATTTTTTTTCAAAGCAAATTCTATCTTTGAGAGAAGATCTAAGTATTAGTGTTTTAAAAAAACATTCCCCAGGTAGGCTAAAATAATAAAAGTTGTGTTTTTTGGTCATATTCATTCATAGCTCCAAATTCTCATTAAAGGTTAGCAAGAAATTCTTTAACAGAGCATAAACTATACCAAAGTCTCTACAATTCCTTATTATAAGATGTCTGGTTCACTCATTCATTCGTGTTGCCTGCCTGGCCCCTAAAATAATTGAGTTTTTAATTCTAATGTAGATCAACTCCTTTCACAATGAAACACTAAAAGTTAAGTCATTTGCTCAATATTATGCCTTTGGTAACAACAAAAGCTGCTACTGGTCTCCTAAGGCCCAGAATAACACTTTTATATTATTTTAGAATGCTTTTCTAAACAAAATTAATGCTTAAACTTAAATAGCTAAATTAAGATATGCTTATCCATGAAAGGCATGGTGGTACACACCTGTAATCCCAGTACATGGGATGGTGAGGCAGGAGGATTAGAAGTAAGTTTGAGGCCAGCATAGGCTACAAAGTGAGTTCCAGCCCAGCCTGAACTACACAGAGGGACCCTGTCTCAAAAAGTTAAACATATATATGTGCTTACCTTTTGGAAATGGATGATATCACCCAGGAAAAATCAGAAAACAGAGTAATGTAAGAAGACATAGGAAAAAACCCTGGAGACAGTAGAAAGAGTAAGCAAAAAATAAAGGAGGAAAATCAAAAGAATGAGAACTTACTGAAGTTTGCTCTAGACTCTAGGGACAAAGTAACAAGACAGAGGTCCCTGGTTTCATACAACTTACATTCTATTGCAATGTCTTATTAAATAATCTTATTTATCGAACCTAACTTTGAAAATTTAAACCTTTTTATCGCCTTGAAACAGTTTCCTTAGTATGCACAATACTATCTTGCAGAATATTTTATTCATAAAATGTCATCTCAAGAATTTTCCAGGAGGGGCTGGGGATTTAGCTCAGTGGCGTAAGTCCCTGCCTTGCAAGCAGGCAGTCGTGAGTTCGATCCCCGGTACCGGTAAAAACGAAAAAGGCAAAAAAAAAAAAGAATTTTCCAGGAGGGCCAGGGGTTTAGCTCAGTGGCACAAGCGCCTGCCTGACATGCGTGAGGTCATGAGTTTGATCCCCAGTACCAAAAAAACAAAAGCAAAAACAAAAACCCCCAGAATTTTCAAAGGGAAGAATTTTTCTCAGGTAAATCTGCAAACCCATATAGAATGAACAGCACCCCACACCCTGTTAATGGGATTACCCATCCCCAGCAGGAAAAGCTCTGAGGAGTGGCTCTCACAACAGTGGGAAGAGTCTCCCTGGGCGACCAAAGCTGAAGGGAATCCCAGCTCCACCACGTTAGCTGCATGGCCTGGGCAGCTCCTTGAACCTCCCTGGGTCTCTTTCCTCCACTATAAAACTGGAGTAACGCTCCTCACCTCTCACCACAGTATGAGCACAAAATAAACAGGAAACAGTAAAGCTTCCCAAAGCCTACTGAAGTAGCCCTGACTCACATGGGAGCCTCCGGGCTCCTCCTCCTACAGTGTTTTCTCTCAGCCCAGAGTGGACAAGCAACAGTACTCACCTGTACCTCCCCACTGATCCAACACACTGCCAACAAAAATAGTGCAAAACATTGACTGGTTCAAGGCACATGCCATCAGAGTTAAAGTGCAGTGTTTAGCAGATTATTCCTTGGACTAGACTGGAACACAGTGGCACAGCACTGACCTAGCATTCATATGGCCCTGGGTTCAAAACACAGCACAGGAAAAAAGAAAAGCAAAAAGCTTGTTTCAAACATCTGCACACTGAAAGAATGAAATGTCCTTCACAGAAACAAAACAGCGAAGTCAAACTGCTTTTTATACTGGCATGAGAACAAGAGATTTGCCTGATACTTTCACATGTAAGTCAAGGAAACCGTTGTCCCTAAATACTGAATGTGAATGCAATCTGACAAAGGGACATTTGAAAAGCTGTCAAGAAGGGATTGACCGGATGATGGTATCATAAAGAATGTAAAATATCTTGGATCTGTTGTCCAGGAGATAGACTTAAGAAAGCCTTTCAGAAAGGAAGAAGGTAGGCTATATTTAGTATATTGCACAAAGCACTGCTGCCATGAGGTAAGAATAAATCCTAATGGGGCTGGGGATTTAGCTCAGCGGCATAAGCGTCTGCCTTGCAAGCGTGTGGTCATGAGTTCAATCCCTGGTACCAGTAAAAAAAAAGAAGAAGAAGAAATCCTAATATGGAATATTAAATAATGAAAAAGAAAACTAAACAGGAGTTTTACATCTACTCTTCTGACGTCAAAAGAAAATCATATTTTAAGAAATTTTCAGTCCAACCCAGGAAACCATTCACTGGGAAAAGCACCAATCTAAGCTGCTGCCTAAAGTCAGTTTTTTACTGAGACAAAAATACTTCTCACCTATAACTTAATGGAGGAAAGGCTTTCATAGCTTTCGAGGTTTCAGGCATGATTGGCTGGTCCAAGACAGAAACATCACACAAGAAGGGTGTGGCAGAGCAAAGCTGCTCACTTCATGGCAGCTGGGAAACAGAGCAAAGGCACAGAGTGCCATAGAAATATGCCCTCCAAAGACACATGGCCCAGTGACCCGGCTCCACCTACCAGGGCCCCCCAAAGATTGGTGCACTATAACCACGAACGAAACACCTCTCCAGGGTCTCCTAATCCAGTCAAACTGACAGTCAAGATTGACTGGCACACCTGCCCAAGCAGCAGGCCAAGCCCACCTAGTGAAAACACAAGCTAAAAAAAAAAAAAAAGAAAAAAAAGAAAACACAAGCTAGTCTACCAGTAAGAGACACTGCTCTGAATTCACTCTGTTTGGAACGTAAGAAGTGATCACCCTACTATCCGGTTCTGTCTGCCTTCAGGTCTCTGCTTAAATGTTACCTTGTCAGAGAACTTTTTCATTCCTCCATCTAAGTGACTCCATCTCTATCCAGCAATTCTCTTCTACTGTATCCAGTCTGGCTCCTCTAGGCAGAAGTCCCAACAGTATGGCTCACCAGAGCCTTACCAACTACCTGGCATATGGGAGGCATATAAGGAAAGGACAGGAAAGGAGATTTTCTTGGTCCTCTTTTCCAAAGCAATGGAGGCATACAATGATATAAATTCACAGTGATTGGGTTTTTTTAATTACCATTCCCCCCCAAACAAAATCATAATTTTCCTAAATAAAATTGGAATATAGTCTCCCAAAGATACAATATTGTAAATAATAAATATCAAGAAATAATGCTTAAATTACTATAATCCAAGTAATTTATAGGCTTTTGTGGGGCAACACAGAAACTTCAACATTACCTAAAATATTTTTCTTTAAGACAATATGCTTTCAAAGCCAAGTAAAATAACTTACAAGTTCTTTTAAAATATGTCTCTCCTAAATTGTGACATATAACATTATTTGGCACAGGGTTAAATTGTACTGAAAAAAAGGCCTGGATACAGGTCTAGGCCCTCCATCAATCCGCTCCACTGGGAGAGGTGTTCACCATTTTTGGACTTCATTTAACTCATCTATACAATGATGGGATTAGATCTGAGGCCTCTAAGGTTACTTTCAGCTACAGAACAGTCTATTTGCTTTACAGCATTAAAAATAATGGAGTAAGGTCCCCACATGATTTAAGAGGCTTTGTAAAAATCTACAAATTAATATTAATTCTTCCCTAAACTAGCTTGTTTTCTTCCAAGCTATTATGTACTTTGTCCTTGAATAAGTAAAATAACTTCTCTGCAGTAAAATATCTTATCCATCAAGAGAAAAAAATAAGACAAAAAGAGGATGAAAGCTTACTGCATCTCCAAAATTTTGTAATAATTAAGGAAAAGGGGTTGAGGATCTAGCTCAGAGGTGTAGGCAACCTGCTTGGTAAGTACATGGTTATGAGTTCAATCCTTGGTAAAAAATGAAATGAAATAAAATAAGAATCATTTTGGGTTGGAATCAAATTTTGGGTTGGAAATTTAGCTCAGTGGCTTAAGCACTTGCCGAGTAGGCATAAGGTTGTGAGTTCAGTCCTCAGTACCAAAAATAAATAAAAGTAAAAAAAATTAAGGAGAAATAATGTCATTAACCATTTACCAGTCTGATTATTTAAATACAGATGACCAAAATTTACATATTTTTCATTAATTTTTATAACAGGAAATATAAAAGCAGCAATTTTACCGAATTTGTTCAATACA